CTTCTCAGTCGGCGACCTGTCCGTGGTACTGGTGACGTCGCCAATACCATCCCATCCCTCGTGCCTTGAGCCGAAGACAATGTCACAGGTCGATATGAAGCTGTTGGATGCTTTTATGTTGGAGTAAACACTGTTTTCTATAGTAGTAAGTTACGCCATGCTTCCCTGCGCAAGTATGTATTCTTGGCGGGCGCGCATGTGTGTGTGTGTGTGTTGTGCTTGGGAGTTTAAGTGTTTGTTTCGTTTTTTGTGTGGTTTTTGTTGTTTCTTTCTGTCTTTAATTCTTTCTTTCTTTCTTTCTTTCTTTCTTTCTTTCTTTCTTTCTTTCTTTCTGTTGCTTGTTTGTTTGTTTGTTTGTTTGTTTGTTTCTTTGTTTGTTTGTTTCTTTGTTTGTTTGTTTGTTTGTTTTTTGTTTGTTTATGTGTTTGTATCTGCAACATGACTCAAGCCTACTGTAAGTTGAGCAAAGCCCAGCCAAGGTGCCAATTGATAGACGAAGTCATTAGCTCGTTTGACTTGATTGATGGTTTGCAAGACTGTCCGCTCATCATTGTTGCGGATGGCGTGAAAGTTGGTCCAGGAAGGAGTAAATGGAACAAGGGCAAGGTGGACGAGCAGACATTCGAGAAATATTTGGAATATATCTCATCTCTCCGATGCAAGTATGAAGCAGGAAGAAGTCAATCTCAAGTAATTGGGCCACTGGAGCAGCGTGTAAACTTTGGTCACGCACTTCTGCGGGGCTTGCAGGAAGTCAAAACTGAGCTTGTTTTGGTGGTACAACATGACAGAGTCTTCGCAGAAAGGTTCTCCATGCACAATGTGGTGAAGTTTTTTGACACATTTGCCGACTTGCGATATGTTGGCTTCCAAACAGTGCCAGACTACATGAAGTATGCTGTGAGCAAGCTTGGCGGCTGGGCAAGATCTGAGAAGCCCGCCGCACCTGGGCTGATCCCGTGTTTTATGTGGTATGATTCAACCCACGTGTGTCGCACGCAGCAGCTTGCAGCTCTCATCAAGCAGGAAGTCCGGCCTGGTGAATTCATCGATAGCTCTTACGGCTGCCGGCTTTTGGATGAGATCCGAGCACGCAAGGAGGACTGGAGCTGGGAGTATCATATGAAGCACTTCGGGCTTTTCCTCTACTGCGAGCCTCAAATTGCCCGGCCCATGGTGCGGCACGTGAGCGGCCGAGGCTTCCACTCCAAAGAGCAGCGGCTAGGAATGGGCTGGCCTGCGGAACGGCCGCTGGCCAACCGGCCATGAATGAGCTGTTGTGGAAATGCCAAATGCGCTCAGAATGAGATGCGGAAGTTTCTTCCGGGACGGCTGACCTAGAGCCACGATGTGATGTAGCTCGGACAACGACCAGTGAAAGTGCCAATCCCTGCCAGGTGCAGCTTTGCACAGTCTCCCGTTTCATTGGAAGCGACGCACCCTCTGGCACCCTAGCTCTGGACTATCCCACCTTGTCGGTGGGATCTTCAGGAAGATGCACTTCCTCCAGCTTGGAGCTGCAGAATGTTGCGGGACCGGAGTAAAAAGTTACGTAAAAACATGGGTGTCCTTTTTGGTTGGTTTGGTTTACCTGGCGGTTCCGTCATCCAGAGCTATCTATTTTCCAAGCAGGACACCTATGTAGGCAAAAGTGTTTGGGCTGGCGACCAGTTGCCTGCAAGACCTTTGCCATTGACAGAGATTGATCAGGGCTTGTCCTGCATCACGCGCAGGCGAGCGGCAGGCAGCCTACAGCTGGATGGATGAGGTGCCATGGGAATTCGTACCAGGAGTGGGGGATGGGAGGTTGCATCCAGTCCTGTCTTCTGATGAAATTGCTAGAGAGAGAATGAATGTAGGACCATCCGTAGGCTCTCTTGTAGCTGGCCTTGCAGTCATAAGATCAGGCAAGCAGAATGGATGCATGCTCTGCTGCCACGGAATATTGTACAGGCAGCCCAATCCAAAGGCCAGATTTCGTCCGAAGCGTTTGATGCCTGGCTTGCCAACGATCCAATTTTTCATGGTGTCACCACTTACTTGGTTTGTTCATTGTGGATCACATGGGTAATTGAACGTTACTCCTCAAGCGGATGTCAGCCACATCAGCATGGGAAAGGTCTAAGGGGAACTTCAATGGATGCAGCCAAAGAGGGAAGTTATTTGAGAACATGGTTCGCGAAGACAACCTTGCCTGCATGAAGCCAAGAAAGCACATTGGCTGGTTGCATCATGCTTGACGTCAAGCAGGGCTTGTAGCTTTCAGGCGAGGACCGACGGATGCGGGTATTATTAGTGTTGCACCTGCAGTTACTGTTCTTTGGCATCGCGGAACATGTAAGTACACTCACCTGTAGAGGCGGGAAGCTTGACACCAAGTCCTGAGGTCCTCCAGTCATAGGGAAGTATGCAAGCAGGAAACATGCAAAGTCTAAAAGCCACGCTACTTCTTTGTACCGCAGCTCCAAATCGTTCGCGAATCAGTTCCTTCTGTCAAGGGAAAGGTCGAATGCAAGAAGACAAACCACGAGCTCGAGAAATCGAGGCGGGCTCCCCTTGGTTCTGGGAATCAACAGGACTGGTTTCACTGCTGTCTAATTTCTTCCATGGGAATCACAGGAGGATAAGCTATGTGAGAGTTGATCTAAAGGTCCTTGCTTTACAATATGAAGGGGACGACCATTTGGTACCATCCATGATCCCCCGCGAAAGCTCCGCGATGGACTTCGCGAAAGTAAATTTTTTTTTCGCGAAAGTTTTTCGTGCATTACGTGAATCACTGGTCTTATAGGACCTCGGACATATGGGATTGGGTATGTGGTTTTCATGCGAGCGGACTTGCTGACAGGGGGCCTGTGTGCAGCGACAGGGGGCCTTGAAGAGCGACACCCCAGCCAGCCATGACAGCCAACCACAACACATGTTTTGACCGCCGCACATATGGGACAGTGCCCCGTGTAACGTTGCTAAAGTGTTGAGGGCCCCTTTGGGCCCGCGGATGAATCCAACTTGTCAGCCACATTTCCACCAATGTTTGGCGCAAGATCCGCGAAAGTTTCGCGAAAGTTCATGGACCTCTCAGCCCGCTTCCGCACATGGCTGGCCAACGGGGCTGCTCCTGCCAAGACAGCGGGCTAGCACTTCCACTTCCGGGAGCAGCACAGACAGTGCTTCAGACTAACGGCAACCAAGCCAACGCAGCTAAAATTTGGCTGCGACTTGCTGTTGCGCTTCTGCTCATGAACCACCACAGGGTTGCGTCCACTTGCAGTTTTATAGGGAACTCCATATGGCACACAACACATGACCCCAGCGCACCCATTGTTCGCATACGAGCAATACGAGCTGGGGCAAACTTAAGGGGGGCGGTTGCCTTACGATGTTCTATACAACAAACCTGCCGGCAGGGCATGGGTATGATTATCGGCGCCACCAATAACATCGTGTTCGTAGTCCTGGACATTCTTCGGCTTTCGCAGTTCCAGTTTCTACTTGTGAAAGGGGTGGTTCTCGTAAGGGTAGCTGCGCGATGAGGGTCGCGAAAGTTTCGCGAAAGAGAAATTTTTTTTCGCGAAGAATGGCCGTTCCAGGAACAAGGAATTTAGATCAACGGCCATGTGGCTGTGGGTCAAAACCAATGGTACCATTTTGGGGTAGGTGCACCACCCATTTTAGTCTATTTTAGTGGGGGTTGGGATGTTCACTGGGGGTAGGGGCTTTTGACCCGTGGCCATGTGTTTTGCCCTTTTCCAGGAGCTCCCCTATCCCCTCAAACGGATGCGTTCACATCCGACAGGCGATCTCAGAGCGGATGATCCGCCGGGACGAGCGCCTCCAGGAAACTCCGCTTCTCGTGGCACGCTCGGGCTCGTCTGTTTGGGACACAACAGTTGAGAGCCATAATCAAAACCCGGGTTGAAGGTTAGTAAGGGACAATCCCAACAAATAGCTGCGGATATCCGCCTTCTTAATTCTTTACATGGTTCTGGGTCGACCATTTTAATACCGGGTTCTGATTCTCATAATCAGTTGGCCTCCAGAGGTGGGGCCGAGATGCCCTGACATTATATAAAATATGATTTGATGTGGATTGGGTAATGCAGATTGATTGATTTGATTGTTCTAGTTCTAAGCAAATGGCCGTGATGATGGACTCAGGTGAAGGGCGCGTTCCTGTGGCGAAGATGAAGAGTTGACGAAACAAGATTTGTGGTTGCGGATCGTCCAGCCCTGCACCGTTGTCCATGGTTCGCCAATGCCAACGTGTTTGGCTTTCGTTCACCCAGAGTGTGGTACCAGTACCACCCAGACGGTTGAGTAGTCCTTGAGACAATGGATGAGCGCCAGAGTCACAACCGGCATGCCATTCTTGCAGACTATGATCTTATGCGGCGATACCTTTTGCAGTGGGACAAAACAAACCGTCACTTTGGGCCAGAGAGGGCCAAATCCAGCAGCCTGAAAAGGATGGTATGCCGGCCATTTGGCCAGGGGTCAAAAGCCCGTACCCCCAGTGAACATCGCAATGCCCACTAAAACAGACTAAAATGGGTGGTGCACCTACCCCAAAATGGGATCCCATTGGTTTCGACCCACAGCCATTTGTAGAACCACAAAAGAGTCCATGGCTTGTGAATACCAAGTACCTGTGTCCCTGGAAAGAATGGAATTGGAAGGTACTAGAAGTTCTCACTTTCGAGTCGTGCGAACGCCAGGAGTGGGAGGCGCCGGTCACCGCCGCGCTGCAGCGGAAGGCACAGGAGGCCCGCTGACTGCGTGGCGGGCCGGCCGTCCCCCGTTTGGCACCGTTTTTTGGCCGGTGTTTTGTGGCCGGTGTTTTTTTGGGAAAGCAACGGGAAGGCAGCCGTTTTGGGGGGTCCCCTAAAAGATGCCGGGGACGCCGAACCAGAAACGCCTAAACTGGGGGGTACCAACCTAAGACCCAAGTGGTGTAGAAGTTAGGGGCTTAATGAGGGGTGCATACCCTCGGCTTGTTACCCCTGTATGAGACACGGACACTGTTGTGCGTTTATGGTCACCAAACCAATTTCCGGGAGCTACGTCCAGCATTGGCACTCCCAATGTCCAAATATTTGCATGCCACTTGTGTGTACAATACAACACATTGGATTACAATACATTGCAGTACATTGAATTACATTGAATTGCAATACATTGGACTACGTTGGACTACATTAGACTAGGCTACATTTGATAGCGTGCTAAGGGGGAGGGTCAGCGCGGGAGTAGTCAAATAAAGGAAGAAAGCATCACATGCGCCTCGGCCATTTTAAGGCTCACTGTTGCTCAGCAATGCTTCTTAACACGTTCTAAGGGCTAGTAAGCCTTGGTTAGCCTAGATGAGTGAACTTGAGCAAGATTGTTGTTTGCAGCCACTAGAGCTAAGCAGCAATCACTCCGCTGAGACTTTCAGGCTCAGCCAAGAAAGCCTGGTACGGCCACGCCTGCGTGTGTTTGAGCCTTGCTGAGCGGTTTTGAGCGCCACTGATCGCTATTGAGTGCTAGTGTGCTATTGACTGAGCGCTACTGAGAGCTTCTCCTGAGTGCTACCGCCGCTGATACCGAGCGCGCGGGTTTCGGCGATATCGGACAAAGCACCGTGATTTGGTCTATTTGAACCCTGCTCCCCTGACCCCTCCCCCTCAACCCCCTGTAAACATTACATTACCTTAGCTTATATGAGCTTACATTAGCTTACATTACATTACGTTACGTTACGTTACCTTACGTTACATTACATTGCATTACATACATGCACATGCCATCATCGTTACGAATCAAAGTTTTGCTTGACCACCAAAAGGACATGTAGGAAGGTAGCGTATTGCTTTTGTTGCCTTTCTTTGCCTTTGTTTGTTTGTCAGTTTCGTTCAACGCAATTAAGCACTTTCCAAAGGAATGCCCCAAGAGAAAGAACAGAATATGACATCAGACCTGACCGCAGCTTGTTTGATGTCACCACTGTAGCCTTCTGTAGCAGCCATCACATGAACGGGACTCGTTGTCAATATTGCCACCAGGCCTGCATGGATCATCAATTTGTACAACTGATGCGTCTGCGTGTTTTGTTTATTACATGTTCTAGCAGCACATTCTCAAATCATGAGCTTGGCGTCCCGACCAAGCAGTTTTTTTGTTTTTTAGTTTTTTTTTTAAGGGAGGGTCCCTTAGCTCAATATCGATCTTTGACAATGGGTTTGCGTGTGTATTTGACGAAACCCGCCCAGGCCACAGTGGGCACAGTAGGGGCCTGGCACCTGGCTGTCCGAAAGCGATGCGGGGAGATGCGGGGGATGCCACTCTTGCGGAGTGGTTCTGTTCCAGGCACCCAGGCCTCGGTTGACTTCGGGAAACCGGAAGATTGGAAAAATGGGTAACGTGTTCAAGCGAAGACATTGGCGCGACCCTGCGAGCGGAGCTGTTCATTTGCGCGCCGAGGTGCCGTGCCAGTCTGAGACCATCCTTTGCGGCCGCATTGCCTGCGAGGCATTTTGTCAGCCAAAGAAGCGGGAGTCGCTTGGAGAACAACCACTCCTTGTTAGTTTCGCCATGGAAGCTCTTTTCGGATTTCTGGTGAGGAATCCGGCTCTTGTTCGTCATGCTTGGTTCTTGTGATGTTTTCTGTGCAGCTCAAAGAATCGTGAGACCTCAACGGAGTCCCGCCCCGCTTCTTTGGTCCAATGCCTGTGTCTTCAGGGGCTGGAGGGTCAGCTCAACGAGCACTCCATGCTGTGCCCTGGCAAGGGGACACTGGCAAGGGGACGAGGCGAGCTGTTGTTGGCCCCTCCAAAGAACTTTCTAAGCATTTATTTACGTCATTTGGGTGTGGGTCAAAATGAAACCACCAGAAAAACCGCAGGTTTCAGTCCATGTTTCCATTTGCCAGGGTTACATCTTGGGGTTACCCTGTTTTTGACCCACAGCCATTTCCCTTTGTACGTTCGACCCAAAGAAGGGCTGACGCATTCGCACGTTGAGCAAGTCCGAAATACAGAGGTAAGCAAACCAAAAAAAAACTTGAACCCCGCATGATGGTCAAACCCCCAGGATTGTGTGGATAAGGTCCATACCGTCGGGTAAACAAAGAGTATTTGCCTTTGGTTATGAACTTGAGACCATGGCAGAAAAATGATTAGTGCTTGATTCGCACCGTTGAAGTCTCAGAATGAGGGGGGGAGGTGAATGGGCGAATTTTGATTCAGGGGAAAACAATGGTGCTTCTGTTGGCGGTTTGGCGGTTTCGTGTTCTTCTGGGGGGGGGAGGGGGCGAATCTGATTCAGGGTAAAACAATTGTGCCAGTTTTCTGTATGCTCGCTCAGGTTGGAAGGCTCCACGCTTGCCGGGGGAGCCAAGGCACGGCCATGTCACAGTTTCCCAGTTGCCCAGTGGATTCCGCCCTGTTTTTTCCGGTCTTTTTTTTGGGAAGGGGTCCCCTTTAAAGTCAACCAACCAAGAAGGATGCCATGTTTTTGCTCATGGAAATGCACTGGGCATCTGAGATGTGAGGGGGGCGAATGGTTGAGTCAGGTGCAGCTGAACATGGGAAACTGCAAAATGGCGGCCTTCCCGGGTCAGATTGCCTCTCGGACGCATGAACACTTTTTCCTGAGCGTGCGCTTTGCAACAGCCAGCGATTGGGCAATCCATTCCTGACCCATACATCATTGGACCCTCCAAATTCGGAGGTGTAGCTCTTTTGTTTGTTTGTTTGTTACAGGTTGTTTGTTTTTTTTGAACCCTACCCTGACAAAGCACAGCAGCTCATGAGATCGCCCTGGGATCGAAGCCGCGACTCAGGTTGGAGTGGTGGGGCGCAGCGGCATGACTGGCAGCACCTTCCACGCCTGGGAGTTTCTCTCAGGCGGGGGCGGGGTGTTGAGCCATGGCGCAGGTGTAAATGTAGAATATGCGGATAAAGTATACACATGCACAATACATCACATCACACCACGTTACAGTACACTGCACTACGCTACATTGCGTTGCGCTGCGCTGCGTTGCATTGCATTGCATTGCATTGCATTGCATTACATCACACTACATTGCATTACATTACATGACACTACATTACATTACATTACATTACTGCATTACATCGCATCAGTACATTGTATTGTGTCGCATTGTATTGCGTTGTATTGTATTGCATTGCATTACATTACGCTACATTACATTACATGACATTACATCACATTACATTGCATTACATTGCATTGCACTGCCCTACATTACATTAAATTGCATTACATACAGACAACCAGACGGACAGACAGGCAGGCAGGCAGAGAAACAGAAGTGCACATGTAATATGCATAATATATATATATATATGTATATATGTATATAGAATGTGCATACTTATTCTGCTTTACCGAAGGCGTGGGGCAGTTGGAAATTGGGAATGTGTCACTTTTAACTTCAGAGCCTACCCCCCAGGGTGGGATACACCATACAAGTGAGTCTTAGCCCCGGGCTCAAGGGCACCTGGGTTTGGTGGCTTTCTCAACAAGGGAGGGGACGCTGTAACAAACATCCAACTGGATACGTGTGAAGGTCGGGAGGCCCGGAATCAAAACGCGGCTTTCCTGCTGGTTTGGAGTTCTGGCAACCCAGGTCTTCCGCATCCCCTGGAGCCTCTCAGCCCCAGCTCCTCCCTGCACGCGCTGGTGCTCGCGGGACCGCCGGGCCCCTGACACCGTTTTGGGATCCCATTTTGGTTGGTGAATTCACCACCCATTAAAGAACCTATTCAAAACCAATGGTACCATTTTGGGGCAGGTGCACCACCCACTTTAGAACCTATTTTAGTGGGGATTGGGATGTTGACTGGGGGTACGGGCTTTTCACCCATGGCCAAATGGTCTAGCAACGCTGCCCAGCGAGCGATGCCTAGGTTCAGCGAGAAGGAGAAGTTGGACTTCTCCGCTTTGGACTCCGCCCTCGCAGATGCCGCCCTTGTGCGGCCGGAGGTGCGACCAGAGAAGCTGTTCGTTGCTGCGTCTTCCTATGTTTGTGGGAGGGGATACACGCCTGTAGCCTGAGATGGAGCCCAACAACCCAGCGTCTTGAGAGAGACCCTTTTTTGGAAACCCCGTTTTGCTGCGTTCCAGGTTAGTGGGCAGGGGTGGAGATCAGCCTCTGTTGAAAGGGACCCCCTGTAAACACACCGAGCTTTTTCGGGTATGGGGGGAACAAGCATTGGGCCGCAAGTCTGTAAGTAGTGAGCTGTTCTGTCTTGTCCTGAGGCTGGGCGTGCCAGGCTCAAGCCATGAACTGAAAAGAGGCGGCTAGAGTCAAGCTGGCAACAGCCGTGCAGCCAGGCAAATTGAGCCGCAAGCCTTACCAGACGTCGCACGCTTCGACATAGCGGTGAGAAGCTTTCCGTGGGCTGCGCCCGCCATGGACGGCGGCGAGAGGCTGCAGCATGGCCGGCGCAGGCCAGCTATGGCTTTCCATGTTGGGAAGGCTTGGCAACGACGACTGAGGTGATGAGAACCGGGACATCGTCGCGACCAACGTGGATGACCTGGAAGTTGAAGACACAGACCAGCAGGCCTAGGGTGGCAACCTTTGAGTCTGCTTGAACGTTTTCTTTCTGCAGCACAGGAGCCTACTGCCAAGCAGCATTCCACAGATGCCAAGCGGACTCTCTTCAGGGCTCAGCGCGATGTTCAGGCAGGGGCAATCTTTTGCAAAGCAAAAGAGGTACCCCATGTCTCTTTGGGCAATCCGGACTGAGGATGCGCAAGCTTGACCAGCTGCTTTCTGCCCGATTTCTTTGCTTGTCAACCAAGCGTGTGATGGATTATACATAATATATAGTTGTTGCATGCGCATATATATATATATACATATATGTGTATATATATATATATATAAGTAACAAAAATGATTCCTTCCTCGGTCTTCCTGACAGCCGCCGCTCAACTGCTCTTCTGCTTGCCTGCCGCGTTGTGCTGTTTCAGTGCAGCTCCAGGCGAAGTCAGGCATCTTGCCGTTGCCTCAGGCAATGAGGCTGAGCATCTGTCATGTTCTTTGTTTTCTTTTACATGTTGGCACCCTCTGAACCAATCTTGGGCAGAATCCCCGAAGGTCTGTCCATGAAGAGAGGGTGGTAGGCCCTGATTCTGTGGCGTATTTTGCAGTTGTGCTGATCCAAGGTCTTTGTTTGACTTTCGGTTCCTGCTGTGGAACTCAGCCGCAAGCAACGCTCTCGGCTGTTATCGTAGGGACGGCAACCGGCCAGTGGTGCACCAAGTTTGTTTTGGCCTTGCTCCAACACATGAGTTGGCTTGTGTTGAAAGGAATCCATTGTTCTGACATTTGGGAGCAAGAACATCTAGATAGCTTCCTAAAAGTGGCATTCTCAGTTGAGCGACTGTCATTCTGCAGGCCAAAGTCCTCAGTACACAGTTGGTGAGCTTGAGAGCAAGATCTACGACAACTCACTTCATGCGAACGAGGCATGGGCAAGCTTCTGAAGGCTGTGGTAATCTGGCGTGTGCGTGTGCGCGTGCGCGTGTGTATGTGTTGACTGAGAAGACAGCCCCGCTCGTCCCAGTTCGTCCCAGTTAACCTTGATCCACACGCACGAGGGCGCGCTCCTTCTTCCTCTGAAGATTCTATCAAGAGATGACACTGCTTCCGACGCACGGAGCTGAGATGGGAAGTTGGGAATGCCATGACTGTAGTTCCCCTCACCGAGCTAGTACGGACCGCGCGCCAGCTGCAAGGTTCAAGATGAGCCTCCGCAGATTTTGCTTTTCACAAACTGGAAGGCACTCGAATGCTTGCGAGGCATGTTCTGCAAGCCCCAGTTTGGCAGCAAATGCCCCCTGATCCCAAATTGGCCAAATTGGTTGCCTTTCTTCATCCAAGCTGCTGTCCAGAAGACTTCATAGCCTCGGCGGGTGTTGTTTTTTGAGCCGCAGGCGAAGCTCGCTGCTCAGGCGCCTTTGCGGCTTGCCTTTTTTTTGCGACATGGGTGGTGGTTCTATGTTCAGCGCCAACCTAAGCGATTTGCGACACCAGGGGTGCCTCCTGGTGTCGCTGGTCTCTGGGATCATCTCGCCCATCACCTTCATCTGGGGCGGAAGCTGGGTGAGGACCTCAGGGACCAAGAGGCCCCACGTGGCTACGGCTAGGCACCCTCATAGATCGGAATGTCGCAGGAAAACGTGGAGCATGGCAATTGCCCAATCTGAGGGTTGTTGGAAGTTGTGTTATCTGAGAATCTACCAGGTTTACGTGGGAAGTCCTTGCACCGCCTGGGTCAATTGCCACCAAGGGTCTATTCACTGGCATCGGGGGGGAAGGGAGTACTTGGTTCAGTCTTGACAGGCTCAAACAGGGATAGGTATGAAAGACAACTTGCTAGGCACAGTAATAACGTCGTAGGTGTTTCTGAAAGCAAGTTGTAGGTAAGCTGAATGAAACTGGGACTGGAGGGAGTGTTCAACACAACACTGTAAGGATTAAACACTTCGAAGAGACGGACGGACGCACGGATGGACGGGCGGACAAACAAACCCTTCACCACCAAGATGCCCTGTGTTTGGTCAAGCTGCAGATGCGGGTGGGGGTGCATGTGTGGAGTATGGCCTCACTAGATTGTTGTTGATTCCTGGATTGCTGAGGAGAAGCTGTTTGGTGACGCAGTTTGCGCGGTTAGATATGGCTGGGGCTCCAATCAGCGGTACCAAAACGGAACCCTGGTAAGTGGAAACATGGACCAAAACTGCGCAACCCCTCCTGTTTAATTTTGAGCCATTCCCATATGTACATGCACGTGCATGCAGCCTACAACACATATTTGAGTACTTAGTATGATGTTCACAATACATGTTTGGATCAGGCACTGCAGTTCGATGGCCCTCTCAAAGCGTGGTGGCGGTGGTGGGACGCCAGCCAAGGCTGACCCTCACTGGGTTCCTGGCGGTAGGCACGAAAGGGAGTTCAGACTGGCGAACAGCATTTCATTTTCCCTCTGAGAGAAAGGAGCCTCCAAGACTTAGATGCCCCCTTTGTCCTGTTGGACTCGGCTTCTGCCGCAGGAACTTTGGTTTTGAGAATCCATAGCCAGCAGCCAAATGGTGGGTTCATCCAAAGTTGGCCAACTGTTATTGGTGGTTTCTGAGCTGTTTGATTCCATGGCTGGCACGTTCCACAAGCCGCACCAAATTGGACCACAAGCCGTGCCACAAGCAAAGCTGGAGTTGGTTCCCGCGTCTGAGTGATTGAAGCTTCTGACCGCCCTGATTGTTGTCTCGACAGCAGATGATTCCATGTTTAAGTGCCTTCCTGATCATGTTATATGTTTGACCGAGATGCTCAAAAGCGACATGGAAAAACGGTCAAACATGTATATAAACACTTGATTTCTCAAGATTAAGATTGCACGAAAGGTTGCAAATACAACTATCTTCGGCACCAAAGCTTGCCAGGGCTTTGATGGTTTGCGACCTGATCCTCGACGTGGGCTATCTCTTCTATTTGGTCCTGGAGTTGAAGATGTCCTACCTGCCTTGGACTGAGTTGTTACCCTTCCACCCTTTTCACATGGAACCTGATGTTTGGGGGTTCCCTTTGAAAGGAACATTTGCCAGGGCAACCCATTTTGGGGTTACCCTGTTTTTGACCCACAGCCATGTGAAAATGGCTGGAGGGTACATTTTACCGGAGTGTGCAGGTGTTCCTCCTGGTCTCTGAGGCACCCGGAGCGCAAGGTGGAGGTCACAGATGCCACGCAGATCAAGCGGTTCAGGAGTGTCTTGTTTGACCCCAGGTGGTTCACTGTGCAGATACTTGGATGTGGTTGTCAAAACCGTTTTGGGATCCCATTTTGGTTGGTAGGTGAATTCACCTCCCATTTTAGAACCTTTTTTAGTGGGGATTGGGAGTGGCATTGGGTCAAAATGGGTACCCAAAATGGGTTGCCCTGGTAAATGGAAACATGGACTATGTGCGGTCCAATTCCTGGTGGCTTAATTTTGACCCATGCTCAGGTGGTTCACTGTGTAGATACTCCTGATGCGAGTAAACTTGTTGCAGGATGACCAACATGATGTACTTGCTTCGAATGTTTAGCGTCCGGGGCCTTGGTTTTTGTTTCCTTGGTAATTATTTGCAGCTCATGCAACGTGAGATCAAAAACCAAGGTCACGAGCTACTTGTGGATCATCGCTTTCAATGGGAGCTTGCTGCTGAATATCACCAAGATCGTGCGGCTCTATCACTATGCCAGGCCCTCAGACCCGACCGACTGGTGCCGCGACCCGGGGCGCGCAACCCGGCGGACGGGGGATCGAGTGGTGCGATCCGAGGTGCGGTTCCCGGATCCGATGTGGTTGGTTTATGACTATGGCCGACTTCGAGAATTGAGGCACGGCCGCGAACAAAAACAAGGCCTAGCAGGGATGTATGGAGTGGGCCCGTCTTTGTTTTGAGGGTACGTCTTTTTTGGAGCTTGCTTGGAAGGGAGACCAAAGGGAGAACCACCATTTTGGGTTTCCTCCCGATTTGAAGACACACCCAAGTGTGCACCACTCCTGACGAAGTGAGCCGTCTATTTCCCTGAAACCTGAAACAAGACTGGACGTGTGGACCGGGAAAATTGAAAGTGTGATTGATCAAGCGCTAAGGGTAATTGATATGGCCGTCTGATTGCCATGAGCAATCGGCAGGTTCTAAATTCAAGGTATTGTGGCGTGTTTCCCTTTGTTTGTCCGGTTTTTACCATTTTTTTTCTTTTGCTACCCTGAACAAGGCTAGGGCTACTTGTGAACAAGTTTATCGCACAAATTTATCGAGAAAGGAATAGCAAGGGTGAGTGAAGTCAGCATCTCCAGGATCAAGTGACAGCAAGTCACAGTAGGCATGACACCTTCTGATCCTGCTTGCTATGAGTGTGGACTGAAGTGATGTGGATTGACGTAGGCCCGCGCTTTTGCTCACCTGGCTGGCCCACTGGGTCCGGCGCCCTGGGTAGGCACCGTTGGATTCAGGTGCCTCCTCCCAGGTCGGGTGCCTTCTGGCATGGGGCGGTGGCTACAGAGAGGCGGACCGAGCCTTTAGCTAACCCTCACCATCTCTCGGTTTGGCAGCACGTGTGGCATTCTCTTTGTGGTTCGAGGGGAGTTAAAACTATGAAGAGCCGATCATTTTTGTCTGCTTGCTCCCGCTCGCGAGCACCGGAGCCAGGCACTGGTGCGATCAGGCCGTGCACCCTTTCGCTGTTGTGATGGCGCAGTTGTTTTGGGGTCTTGTGCCTCAGGTGATGGCGCAGCCTACGAGACCACTTTCAACGGCCATGTCGTTCCTGGATGGTTTTCCTTATACTTCATGGCTTTTGCTGGCAGCTCAGTTTATGAAGCTAGAGCTCGGGAGCTCGTTTGGCTTGGGAACCCATTCCGGCAACGCATGCGTTGCGCCAGCAACGCAGGATGCATTGACCTTTCTTGGCCGTGCCGGGAGAGAAGATCAGTCCTTTTCCATCCGCCATATGGTTGAATAGTTGTGGCCATCCTGGATCGTGTTTCCTAGGTTCGAGCGCTGGTCAGAAACAACTTGGCTCAGGTCGAAGCCTTGTACATGCTGACGGGTGCTCTTGACAATCCTCTGGGAGATGGCTCGTCGGCCTGGCATGTGGCTGGCATGCGCGCAGGTTAACGCAGGCTGTGATTTATAGATGGAGATTGGTTTGCTTAGATCTCTAGATTCACAGAGAAGCTCTTGAGTTCCTACTAGTACCTTCCCACCTGCGAACAAACCTGGACGACCACGTTGCTTTGATCCCCGTCAGCGAGTGTAAGGGAAGCCTGCTCCCGGAGGATTCGCGAGAAGAACTTTGGAGCATTGATCTTGGTGGCAGCCGGCGCCTCAATCCGGCGGCTGCCAAAGACCAATTTGGCTGTGGGTCAAAAATAGGTACCCAAAATGAAACCCGGGTAAATGGAACCAAGGACTAAAGCCTGCGGTCCCCTGGTGGTTTCATTTTGACCCATACCCATTTGGGTTGGCAAAAATGGCCAGAGACCTCTTAAGGAGTTTAGACAAGCATGAGGATTGCTAATTAGGGGTGCCATGATTATGATCCACATAAGCTGTTTTGACCCTGGCACATATGCCCTAGCGAAACAGTTGCCTTGCAAGCGGCAAGCTAGGCATTTGTGGCAACTTCCACGGCCTCTTCATACGTCCTCTAGGGCTGATGCAAACTCCTCAACCTTGACAACGACCCGAACATAGAATTGGCACCTTGGGGTTGAATGTTTTGCCGCGATCAAAATGCGGGAAGAGTGATAGAACATTTAACTAGGAACAGGCCGGACATTTGCTAGAATTATGCGACACATGCAGTGCACACAACATTTACACACATGTCACAATGTTGATTTTGAACGTTGCACACCGGAGTTCCATGTTGTTTTTTGTCATGTCACCAAAAATAACGTAATACTACACCACCGCATTTTTTGTATTTCGAGTGTCCAGCTGGTGCAACGGCGGTCGCTAAGATCTTCGGCCCCGTTGGTTGCGTGATCGTGGCCCACTTCATCGCCACGGTGGTCAGAGAGCAGGCGTCGATGGCATGGGTCTAGTTGGGTCCCGATGTAGCAGCTGCTCGCAGCTTGTTCAAGGGATATTCTGACCACGTGTTGAAAACCGGCTTCGTTTTTTTGTGATGGGCCCCCATCTTGAAATTAGATGATTGAAAAACAGTTCGCTCTAGGAGCGCAAATACGCGCTGGACATTCGCCACGAGGAGAATCAGGCGGGACCTTTTTGACGCATCGAAACTATGAGGCTTTCGGGGATTTTGAACCCTTGTTTCTTGTAGAGGGTAAATAGGAAGCCATCCCAAACCACCCACCAATCCAAATCACTAACTAGAGGGAAGCTGACGGGACTTGTTGGGAAGAGACACATTGGATCATGGCAATCAGACCAGTGTTTCCGTTCCATCATGGCGCTATGATTTGGCGATCGGCCGCTGCCAGAGGTTGTTTGTCACTGTAATGTTGACACTCGATTAGTAAAGGGTACCGGAATAATAGAAAGTTTTTTTCCTTATTATGGTTCACACCCATTGTTTAAGGGGACCAGAATAATAGAAAGTTTTTTTGGCCAGGGGGAAAATTCAAAAAACAAATCCACAAAGCAAATTTATGTAAAAAAAAAAACATCCCCCCCACAAACAATCACCCAAAATCCATGTTGACCCCAAAATCCAGCCAGCTGAAACTCAGAAATTTGAAAACCATCCCCAGCCCTTGAAACTGCAAACTCTTTATTAAACCGTGCTAAAAAATTGCCAAAAAACAATCAGGACAAGGGTACCCCTCACAGACCCCACAGAACCACAATAGTGTGCTTGTTTTAGGGTACCACAATAATAGCAAGCCCCCAGCCCCCCCTCCCAGAAAATAAACTGTCAGTTGCTTTGCTCAAAAGCATTCCCCTTTCAATTGGTGGCCCACTTGCTTAAAAGCATTCCCCTTTCATTTGGTTGCTCAACCACAGAACCCAAAGCCAGCTGAAACTCTGAAATTTGAAAACCATCCCCAGCCCTGAAACTGCAAACTCTTTATTAAACCGTGCTAAAAAATTGCCAAAAAACAATCAGGACAAGGGTACCCCTCACAGACCCCACAGAACCACAATAATGTGATTGTTTTAGGGTACCACAATAATAGCAAGCCCCCAGCCCCCCCTCCCAGAAAATAAACTATCAGTTGCTTTGCTCAAAAGCATTCCCCTTTCAATTGGTGGCCCACTTGCTTAAAAGCATCCCCTTTCAATTGGTGGCCCACTTGCTTAAAAGCATTCCCCTTTCAATTGGTTGCTCAACCACAGAACCCAAAGCCAGCTGAAACTCTGAAATTTGAAAACCATCCCCAGCCCTGAAACTGCAAACTCTTTATTAAACCGTGCTAAAAATTGCCAAAAAACAATCAGGACAAGGGTACCCCTCACAGACCCCACAGAACCACAATAATGTGATTGTTTTAGGGTACCACAATAATAGCAAGCCCCCAGCCCCCCCTCCCAGAAAATAACTATCAGTTGCTTTGCTCAAAAGCATTCCCCTTTCAATTGGTGGCCCACTTGCTTAAAAGCATTCCCCACTTGCTCATTTGGTTGCTCAACCACAGAACCCAAAGCCAGCTGAAACTCTGAAATTTGAAAACCATCCCCAGCCCTGAAACTGCAAACTCTTTATTAAACCGTGCTAAAAAAAAAAAAATGCCAAAAAACAATCAGGACAAGGGTACCCTCACAGACCCCACAGAACCACAATAATGTGATTGTTTTAGGGTACCACAATAATGGCAAGCCCCCAGCCCCCCCTCCCAGAAAATAAACTATCAGTTGCTTTGCTCAAAAGCATTCCCCTTTCAATTGGTGGCCCACTTGCTTAAAAGCATCCCCTTTCAATTGGTGGCCCACTTGCTTAAAAGCATTCCCCTTTCAATTGGTTGCTCAACCACAGAACCCAAAGCCAAACCCCCAGTTGACAAGAACTGGTTGCAATACTAAAGTAGAATTGCAAAAAGGAAATGGCTGCAATACTAAAGTAGAATTGCAAAAAAGAAGTGGCTGCAATACTAAAGGAAGTGGTTGCAATACTAAAGTAGAATTGCAAAAAAGAAGTGGCTGCAATACTAAAGGAAGTGGCTGCAATACTAAAGTAGAATTGGGCCCCAAAACCCTCCATTGTTTGGACGTCCCAAAAGTGCACCCCCATTATTTTGGCGCCTCCATTGTTCAGGGGGGGGGGGCCTTTATTAATCAAGTGCCAACATTAACAAAATCAGGGAACCATCAAGTGGTTTGGAGGAACTAACCTCCCAATGCCTTGCTGATTTTTGTTCCCCACCCCCACTCCCCCCCCCCCCACTCACCCCCCCTCACTCACCCCCCCAACTCGCGCTCCCCGCCCCCCGCCCCCCCCCCCCCCCCCCCCCCCCCCCCCCCCCGGTTTTTTGGGTGTTTCCACACCTCCGGCGCCGTTTTTTCCCCTCCTGCCTGGGTCAGGACCCCCTTCGCCCGAGCGAAAGCGAAGCCGAGGCCTTCGTGAAGCGGGCGCTGGAGAATCTGAACGTGCCCAAGGAGCTGCAGCGAAGGGTCTTCAGCTTCTCGGAGAAGCGACCGATTTTTTTTTTTTTTTTTTTTTTTTTTTTTTAAATAAACAACTCTTTTGTGTGTCGTTGTTTTTTCCCTGTTGTCTCTTGTTTTTTTTTTTTTTTTTTTTTTTTTTTTTTTCCGAGTTGGTACCGATCTTCGTTTCTTTTGGGTAGTGGAAAAGGGGAAACAAACATGAAGAACTGCATTGTGGGGAGGGGGGAGTAACCGTTTTGAGAGAACCCCACCTGCTTTTGTGGAAGCAACTGATGCGGCGTACAGAGGAGTAAGGGTTGAAAGGGTTAACACCTCGGTTGTGTGTGGGTTTTGCGGTTTTGCAGTCCCTAGATCCAGTCGAAGCGTGATTCTGGTGTTGCGGAATCCAAAGGGTACAAAGCATGGATGCAGACTCAGGATTCAGCCCAGGCACCCAAGTCTTATGTGGTTATTCTGTCACCCGAAAAAGTCAAAGCTCACGCCATTCTTCGGATCTGCGTCGGGCCCGAGGCTTGCACCAGTTCCAAAAGATGAGCCACGACTACGAGGCCGGATCTGAGTGCCAGCCCAGCCTGTGGCGTGGCATCAGCCCAAAGGGAGCTTAGGCTTTCGCCAGGCCTTTGAGCACCTGTTCAAGAACCACACCTTATCATCGCCACTGGAGGACACAATTTTTTGGTCTGCTGATTCTGAGGGGTCGATTCTTGGGCAAGGCGTGGGTGTTCGGTCAATGCAAGATCAAGTTTTGAATGACGCGTGGAAGTGTGCATTTTGCAGAGTTCCAGGACGCTATCCGGGTATACCTGTGCCCCAGAATGTTGCGCGCTTGCTGGCAAGCTACCCTGGTGGAGGTACCAGTCGGTGCTGTCTTCCACCTTCTTCAACAATAAGGACCGGCCAGTTCACGCTTAGATTTTCGCGAGCGCGACACTTGGGGTTGTCCTTTTTGCTGTGTTGAGTTGCTTCCAAAGGCAGAAGGTGGGACCTTGACGAATCATACCCCAGAATCATACCCCCGAATCATACCCCTTCAAAACGTATGCTAGCAGATGCTACTTTTCTTCTACCGTTTGTGTTGTTCTACATGTCTTGTATTTTGTTTGTTGTTGTACAGCACCATGGGGTTGTATCCAAGGTGCGGAGGAATAACGTATTCTGCGATGCCAGGAGCACAGCTACATCTTAGCGGCGCGCCGCTGAGTTGGGGGTGGAGTGCATAGATCGTTTTACAGAAAGGATCTCCTCATCAGATTTTGACGGAGCTGTGAGACGATTGGTGTCAGGTGGTTCGAGTACTTGAAGACAAAGCCTTCCTGCCCGGCGATTATGTGGTGCGGGTGGGCGAGGCGCAAGATTGAGTTGGAGCACTGAACCAAAAATGCCGTTTGTTTTTCCAAACAAGGATTTTATCCCAGCGAACCAAAGGGCACGCCCCTGTTTGGCTCCCTTTTCAAGTGCTGCTGTGTGAACACCTTTTCCAAAGCGCACCACACTTCAGGAAGCCGGTTGCGGGAACATTCAGTATGAGACCAAGACACAACTGCCTGTCAGGTGGCTGATGAGATGTACTTCATCAGCAAAGGCGAAGTGTCAGTTCTCGTAGCCAATGGCAAGCTCTGCCCTGAGTTACGGCACGGAGTGACAAACTACCCGGGGACAAAGCGCCGGTGTTCCGAAACCGATCATGGTGTTGAAGAGTTCGCGTTTGAGCAAGGAGTCTGCCTCCATTTTGCAGCTGATGCTCATGGACACGTCAAACAGATTCGCGAAGCCTGAGGTCCAAGGAAGTTGAGAAGGCCACGAAGCTTCCCACAAGGACCGTGGCAAGAGCAGATAGGTTTTGATCGGGGGACGTGGGCGATTGTTCACATGTCCACCACGCCTGCCCATGGATTTGATACGTGTTAGGAAGCGGAAGGGCGACCACTTTGGCGAAGTCGCACTGATCAAGGCGCCCACACCATACTCCAACTGGGGCGTAACCTATGGCGATGCCATTTTGGGGTGGATGAATATCCATTTGCCACCTATTTTGATGTTCACCAGGGGTACAGGGTTTTGACCCACGGCCTAATGACTGAGTATTATCTGCAAAAACTCGGATCCACAATCAGAAGGTCGCTTCCATTTAATGGACTGAAGTCCTCGCACCACGTTTCTGGGGGTTCCAGGCCGTCCGCAAGCCAATACAATTCATCGAGTGGGTGTGGTGAGTCTGGTGAGTGCATGACTGTGTTTACCCCACTGCAGCCTGGAAGGCGGTTTGGTGCCCCGAATATGTAGGTGTATTTGTTGTGCGTGTTTCGTGTGTGTCGTGTTCCAGAACGTTGAGACTCTCTGTCACACTCCTGACATCTTTTTTGGACCCATGTAGCGGTGGCACAAATCATCATCGCTGTCCCAGAAGGGCCATTTTGGACGCCACATATGTTGAGACATGAAGATGGCCCTTCTACGAAGAGTGAAGTGCAGCCACAACGTGGCCATGGTAGGGTTTGGGAGCAGAGTCGCCAGGGAAGTCTCCGGACAGCCTGGGTCAAGGCGGAGACTTATGTGATTGCGTCCCGCGCCTGGCATCTTCTCGTACTTAAACATGGATACTAGCACACTGTCCAGTCTTGCAGTTTCTGCGGAAGAATACATGCGTGTTTGTCGTGAATCCATGGCTATATCACGTCAAACTTGCCACTGCGCTGCAAACAATCACACATGTTGCATGGCTGAAGATGCTTAAGACTGACCTGTGATCGCCGGGCTTGAAAGGTCATGCCTGAAGCGAACCAGCATCGAACAAATCTGGAAGTGCCTTGGATGAATTCAAGAATTCAGGCCCTCTGCACCTCTGTCTCTTGCTGTTGGCGGAAGTGCATGGGTGCCAGTGCATCAATCTGCTTCCCTCTAGAGCAACCTGACCCTCTGGAGTTGTTCTGTGGGCCGGGAGCGATAGGGTGTGGCTTGAAATCTGGGACCCCCATGACCCCCCGGAGAAAAAAGAAAAGAAAACGTGATGTGCTTTCCTGTGGCTTGAAATCTGGGACTCCCAAAAACGGGGTCCCCTCGCAAAAAGACAAGCCCAACTTGCTTTTGTGCCAGGTACTTCCCGCAAGAGCGCGAGTCGCTGCAGCGGCAAGTCATGCAGACTGCCGGGGGCCTGAGCCAGAGCTTTAAAAATCTCCTCTAGAGGCGTCTGCATTTGTGCAGCAGGCAATGCCTTCCTGGACTACCATCTTGGCGGCATCCAAAGTTGTGGGGTACGGGGTAGAGTCCCGAATTCAGAGCAATTAACCCAATCCTGGGTGGGCCCCCTGCAGCAGCTCTTTACAAGAGCGTCCTTGCCAGCAGCAACCTGCAGTAGCACTCGACGCGAGTCTCAGTCACACTCAACAGCCTGCAACATCACCTGCACAACTTCCGTTCTAGCAGCCTTTGCCGCCCTGCAACAGCACCCTGCTCAACTCACAGTCAAGATCTCCAGCACACAACGAGATCACTCCCTGGCCCGTCACTCTCCATCAAAACCCCGGCTTTCAGGTCTCCGGGGAGCATGAGCGTCCGACTCCGCTAGGTCATGCGGGATGCTGCTCGCCAAGCTACCGCCCGGCAGAGCGTCCCGGAGCCCCAAGGAGCGATGGGCGGAGCAGCGGTTGCCACTGTCCCACTCCTTTTGCAGAGGTGTTGAAATTCGCTGGGGTTCAAACCACCATCAAAACAAAGAGGGTTCATAGAACCACCATTGTTTACCTAAGGATTGTCATCATCCAAATTGGGTCAACCATTTTTTTAAAGGCGGGTGAACCCTAGGGTATTCTCTATTCTTGATTTTGGAGCGGATCCCATGCCACCATAATGTGCAGAGAATGCGGCTGCGGCTGAACATCGTGGCACGCTTTGAGCACATGCGCGTCGGCCAATGTTTTGCGCTTTCCTTTTCCCAATGGGCCAACAAAAATGTTTGGCTCCCTTCGGATGGAACTTCCGCCCCTACTCCTGCACCAAGCAAGCCCGCAGCGGGGAACCAGAGCTTCTGCTGTGGGACTCTGAAGAAAGTAGCGACACTGGTGCTTGGCGTGGAGAGACCCAACGGCTTGCGAGTTCCGTGACTGGGATCAACGGTTGGCTCCCTGGTTCGGTAGGCATTAGAACGAGTAGAGCCGAAGTGAACGGGTCTTGAGCGCTCTGCCAGACTGTCTTGGGCCAGGCGCGGAACCTGAGACGCCGCGAGCAGCAACAGGCGGGGGGGGGGGGTCAAGCCGGGCGCTGCAGGGTTGCGGTTATGGGGAGAAAGGGTTGGCAAGGTGATTGGTGCTTTCGAAACAGCACCATTGGTGACTGGACACTCTTCAGAGGCTGCTGCGTGCCCTGCCTAGGCCAACGCGAATCTGAGTCAAATTGCCTGAAATCGACTTGAGGCGGAGCAGCAAACGGCGCTGCCCAAACTCGGCTTATGTCACGTCACAGGTGAACCACCAGAGCCACACAGCCAGCATCCCAAGTAGGCCCGGACAATTCTTGGGCATGACGTTTCGGCGTCCATTGCCGTTGTGCTTGTTTTTCCGTTTTACGTCCACCGAGCAGCAAAGTCGGAGCTTTCCACGAGTGGTTTGGCTTGGTGGTTTAGACGGAAGGGGCCACCTCCCCCATGTTTCAAGAGTGATCCCGATCCACCGGGCGCCAAGCGAGTGTCGGCGAGGGGATTCAAATCCCCTGGCTTTGTGGAGCCATGGGGTTTCCCCTCCATTTCGCCAACAGACCCATCCATCCCCACCCATCCACCCATCCATGCCATCCACCCATCCATCCTATGCAGCCACCCATCCCCACCCATCCATGCCATCCACCCATCCGCTCCACAATCGACGGGGAGCCGCCAGCCAGCCGCACGCCTTCCTCCAGCAGGCCTGGGCGCCGCCCCGAGGGAGGCCCACGAGGAGAAGGCCCTCGCCACGCCCCAACACCAGGCGGAGACGCTGGCACGCCAGGGGCCAAAGTGGATCAGAGGTTTTATGTGTTTTCTTCTTTTTTTCATACATGTATTGTTTCTAATAGTTTCTATTTGGTTTCTACTAGTTTCTTGCTGGTATTGTCTATGATTGGTTTATTAGCATAATATGTTGATATATGATATTATGTTGTATTTTTAGTTGCATAGTAGCTTCTTGTAATTGTCCTCCTCTTTGGGTTTTGTTGATAAAACATATTAAGTTTTACCCCAGTATCTATAGGGTTCGGTTCATCCATGACCAGTACGCAGTGGATTCTGTCCGCAGTATGTAAATATGGGGTCTCCTTAAACCAGCATCTCAAGGCTGCTCTCGCAAAAAGCACACACACACACATATGTTAAGGTTCACAGCATACCAGAATCACACATATTTTGTTTGTTTGGGGTGGCAAGAGCAGGTCCAGAGTCACTGAGGCGATTCTCTCGCCAGGCTTAGCTTTCATTGTTCCTTGGAGCTTTGACGCAAGTGTTAACAGTTTGTTGGCATTTTACTGGTCAATGTTGGCATCAGCCAGTATGAACCCACATTTCGAATACGTCGCCAGTGCTCACAGCATTTCTGACGCTATTTCAAGAGGACCGAGGCTAAGAGGGGTGTGGAACGCATCCGCGTTGACACTGTGGGATTTGAGAGTTTGCTCATTCGCATCGCTGATATTTCATTTCCTACTGGTGATATCAACTTGGCCCAGTACTTTTCTGTTTCCAATTCCAAGCACACGACATGGTTCGTGCGGCTGAATCGTAGCTGGCACCTGGTTTGTAGCCTGAGCTTCTCGGCCGCCCGATTTTGGCAGCCCAAAGACAAAAGTGAGAAGCCCGTGCTTGGATCAGAACGCATGTCTGCTTGTGAGTGTGAACCCTGTACTGTCCTGAGCCCAAGGATCCCCTTTTGTTTTTGGTATACGGAACGGTTGTTGAAAGGCCCGATTGATGAATCGGCGTTAGACATGCGTCGAAAGCGACCCCCCCCAGTTTGCGTCGATTTCAACAAGAGAACACCACGAATCAATTCGGGGTGCCAGTAATTTGGAGCAGTCCGACTTGTTTTGTGACTTAGCCAAAGTGGAAGGTGTCACTAGGCACCCTTCCAAATTCTAGATGGCATTGTTTCCTTCTGGCTGTCCTTGTTTGTACGTGTGGCCAAGCGTGCCTGCGTTTGACGTATCTTCAAAAGAACAAAACGGGCAACAGACCAAAGCGCCTGATAGGTGTCCCTTTTTGTGTCCTGTTGGCCAAAGACAGGAACCCTTGATTTGGTACCTTTTCAAACGAAGCCAAAATGAGGGCCCCTCACTGACAGGCAGCCTTGATGTGCTGGACAAAAGGGAGCCGGCACAGTGTGTTTGTTGGCCTCCCTCTTGCTTTTTGCCATGATGAAGCTTGCGATATTCGGTCCTGAACAGCCAATTCCTTGCAGTTTCTTAGGCTGCATGAGAGAGGCTGCTTGTACATTCAGGCTGCAACACTTGAGCGGCGTTTTTTTTAGCCGCAAGCTAATTTAGTGGGGAGAGGGACATTGTTATTGAAAATGTGCGCCGCGCCACACGCGCGGCGGAAGCATGCGGAAGGCTTGCGGAAGGGATTTGTTCGCGGAAGGTTTGCGGAAGCTTTGTGGCTGATATACAACTAAATGTTAGTGCGTGGAGAAACGATTCCAGTAGAAGAAAAGGTGTTGCTGCGTACAAGAAACGCAACGCTTACTCGAAGAGCAGATGCCAACAGCAAGCCAAGAAGGCCAAAACAGCCGGCGCATTTCGCGGAAGGTTTGCGGAAGCTTCGCGGAAGCTCCGCGGAAGGGTGGCCCCGTGTTTGCAGGCAAGTGGTCACGTAGCATAGGTAGCCCAATGGAGCCCAAGCCTACACAAGCTGCGGCGGAACGCTACCTCACTTAAAATGACTTTCCTTTCTGCGCCAATGCTCGCGGAAGCAAATCTTGTAAACCATGCCCAGCGGAAGGTTTGCGGAAGCAAACAATGAAATGCATGTGCCGCGGAAGTTCGCGGAAGGGACCTCTTGGCCCGCGGCAAGGATGCGGTCCGCGGAAGCTTGAATAATGTCCAAGCAAGTTTGTAGGGAATAAAAGCCAACGCTCACTTGTAGGAACATTACTGGGATAGGGTCGTACTTACGCTGGAGTTATAAGTGACTTAGCACTTAGCTTGGACTTATAAGTAACTTATCTTCAACTTAGAAAAGAGGTTTTTCTAAGTCCGCTAAGTTCATTCTAAGTTCATTGAGTTTGCAACACATGCGTTTTGAAGCATGGCAGTGATGAAGCATTACGCGCTGGAAAGCACACATTTTCGTGTGACTCAACGCAGCAGGGCAGGCGCGCGCGCATGCAGTTTACGCTGTTTGTTCGCGCTGCTTCGCACGCTTGGCTCGATGGAGCCGGAGCATTTTTTGCACTGATTGACTCGGTTTAATTTTGTTGTGCGATAATCGTTTCTATATAGTGTCTCCGCTGGCGGCCGGTCCGCCTTCATATAGTCGCATGGGGTGGTTTCTCCGCCGGCGGCCGGTCCGCCCATTTTGCTTTTCTCGTTTGATGATATATCATTGTAGCGGTGGTTCCGCTGGCGGCCGGTCCGCCAAGCTTTTTTTGCCACGTTCATTTTCATTTCGAGATGGCACTTGAAGCGGTTGTCCGCTGGCGGCTGGTCCGCCCAGGAATTGTTCGGCGTGATTTTTATTTCGAGATGGCACTTGAAGCGGTGGTCTGATGGCACCTTGCGATTTTTTGCATGTTTGGATTGTGAGTGCGCGGATGAAAGGCTGCAAGACTCAATCAAGGCTCCAGAATCCAGACTGCTGACTGCAAACTCCACACTCCAGACTGCAGACTCCAGACTGCAGACTCCACTCCAGACAGACTGCAGACTCCAGACTGCAGACTCCAGGCTGCAGACTCCAGACTGCAGACTCCAGACTGCAGACTCCAAACTGCAGACTCCGGACTGCGAACTCCAACTCCAGACTGCCAGACTGCAGACTTCAGACTGCAAACTCCAGACTCCAGACTGCAGACTCCCAGGCTCCAGAGTGCAAACTCCAGACTCCAAACTGCAGACTCCAGACTGCAGACTCCAGACTGCAGACTGCAGACTCCAGACTGCAGACTCCAGACTGCAAACTCCAGACTCCCGATGCAGACTCCAGACTCCAGACTGCCAACTCCAGAATCAAGACTGCAGACTCCAGGCTCCAGAATGCAAACTCCACAGACAGACTGCAGACTCCAGACTCCAGACTCCAGACTGCAGACTCCAGACTCCAGACTGCAGACTCCAGGCTGCAGACTCCAGACTGCAGACTCAGACTGCAGACTCCAGACTGAAAGGACCCAGAATCCAGTCCAGACAGTTTTTTTCGAACTTAACAAAACTTAACTTAACTTAACCTGGGCGGGTCGTGTGGAGCCGTGGAGTCCCTATTGTAACTCAATCAACTTAACTGCCAAACTTTCCCCGTGAGGCCCAGTTGCGTCACCACGACTTAACATAACTTAACTTGGCCCCGTGGCCGAATTCCACCACAAGATGATCAGGATCCTGGAGCCAGGAGTCATTGTGGAGTCTGGAATCTGGAATCTCGAGTCTGCAGTCTGGATTCTGGAGTTGGCAGTCTGGACTCTGCAGTCTGGAGTCTGCAGTCTGGAGTCTGCAGTCTGGAGTTTGCAGTCTGGAGTCTGGAGTTTGCAGTCTGGAGTCTGCAGTTTGGAGTCTGCAGTCTGGAGTCTGCAGTCTGGAGTGTGGAGTTTGCAGTCAGCAGTCTGGATTCTGGAGCCTTGATTGAGTCTTGCAGCCTTTCACCCGCGCACTCACAATCCAAACATGCAAAAAATCGCAAGGTGCCATCAGACCACCGCTTCAAGTGCCATCTCGAAATAAAAATCACGCCGAACAATTCCTGGGCGGACCAGCCGCCAGCGGACAACCGCTTCAAGTGCCATCTCGAAATGAAAATGAACGTGGCAAAAAAAGCTTGGCGGACCGGCCGCCAGCGGAACCACCGCTACAATGATATATCATCAAACGAGAAAAGCAAAATGGGCGGACCGGCCGCCGGCGGAGAAACCACCCCATGCGACTATATGAAGGCGGACCGGCCGCCAGCGGAGACACCGCTATAGAAACGATTATTGGACAACAAAATTAAACCGAGTCAATCAGTGCAAAAAATGCTCCGGCTCCATCGAGCCAAGCGTGCGAAGCAGCGCGAACAAACAGCGTAAACTGCATGCGCGATGGCTCACTGCGCGGTCCTGCCGCGATGGCTCACTGCGCGGTCCTGCCGCGATGGTCGCTGCGCGGTCCTGCCGCGATGGTCGTTGCGCGGTCCTGCCGCGATGGTCGCTGCGCGGTCCTGCCGCGATGGTCGCTGCGCGGTCCTGCCGCGATGGTCGCTGCGCGGTCCTGCCGCGATGGCTCGCTGCGCGGTCCTGCCGCGATGGCTCACTGCGCGGTCCTGCCGCGATGGTCGCTGCGCGGTCCTGCCGCGATGTGTTTTCCAAACATGGAAGCGGCCCCGCCGCCGCTACGCCGTGTTCCGCCCTGCGCGGTCTAGCCGGGAGCGACCGTACGTCTCGAAAAATGATGCGCGCGCGCGTAGTCCGGTGTCAGGCTTTCTCTCTCGTTCAGCGATGTGGTCCGCAACATGTCAGGGGTAGCGCACGCGTGCTTTTTCGCACGCAGGCAGACACGTAGACTCAGCGAGGTAGACGCGTTTGGGACATTGCTTCGCAAGCGCTGAATGACCGAAGGCTGTTTTCCTCAAATGGTGCTAAAAAGCTAAGTCCCAGCTAAGTTCATTCTAAGTCCCGGCACCCGGAACTTAGCTCGAACTTATAAGTGGGCCTATCTAAGTTAAACATAGACAAGTAACTTATAACTATCCTCGGACTTAGCAAACTTATAAGTCCACTTGTCCCACGTTATAAGTCCACTTGTAGTAACTTATAACTCAAGTTATAAGTACGGCCCTATCCCAGTAGGAATCTGGTCACTGCATGTTCAGGCAAGAGCTTGAAGAAACTGTTGGCTCTGCCAGACGAGCCCACATCTCAAGACGTGTCTTTGAGACGTGTCCTGTGCCGAAACTCCGAGGCATCGAGCGCTTGTGCGAGTCCTTGAGCTCAAAGCAGCAAGAGATGCTGGGGCGCTTGGAGGAGCTTTGCACATGTCGCCAGCACGGGGTAATTGTGTTCTCACACACAAGTTGAATTGTATGACTGTATGACTGTCTACCAGGTGGAGTATTGTGTGTTATCTAGGTCTGAAACTTTTGAGGCCAGTGAGACACCAAGGCAGCGAAAACGCGCCAAGGCATTGACAGTGCTGCTAGTCCACGCACGTCGAGAATTGACGCGATGTGCCAATCAGACTATGAATGAAGTCATCATTAGCAATCGTCAACATCGATGACATCAACGCTGATTTCTTGGACTGACCGTGCTGCTCACTGTCGAAACATGCTTAAAGTCCGCAACATTGAATTGTGACAATGCTTGACCAAGTAAGTTTGCGTTCAAAGCAAGAAAGCTTGCACGTTGAAACAATTGCTTCTCAAATGTGGAATGATTGTTTGGCTGGCTGTCAACTTGGAAATCCAATACTCAAAATGACCCAAGCAGCTAGCATATTGCACGTGGTGCCCAAATCTTGAGGCCAAGTGGTTTTGCAGTTGTCCGAGATTTGCTCTCAGCATGTGCTGTGTTTTGCCAGATCATTGAGGTTGCAGTAAGTTCCTGCCAATTTTCGCTTCTGAGCTTCATTGATGAAGACTATACGAGTTGTTTGTGGTTTTGCCGGCCAACCGCAAATCTCAAGAAATAGCTGATATCCTCCCCAAACCCCAATGGCCATTTTGACCAAGCGCCTTGCGCATCGAACTTCGCCGCTCTCCCATCAGCCAAGATCAGGCCGTGCTGAACCATAGATTGTTGGACAGGACATAGTGTTGGTATTATTGTGTGTTGCTCATGTGAGTAGGGCACAACTCTGAGGGCGCCAATCTGCATTGTGAGTGTTCTCAGACCCTTCAGCTGTTCGGATTCTTTCAAGTGTGGCAATTGACCCTCCGGACATGCGCATGTTTGCCGGGCATGCAGGAGCTTGAGCAACACCTCAAGCCACCAGAGAAGCCGGACAAACAGGAGAAGCAGGAGAAGGCAGCCCGGTTCTCCTGGCAAACAACTTGAATTTGGATTCCGAGGGCGGGAACGCTTTCAAACGACAGAGGCTCCTTCGCTGCTATTCGGCCACTTGTCAAACAAATGGCTTTGGCATTGCCCGCCACTTGGAGAGGAACGAATGGCTTGCTGCCTTGTACTGAAAGGCGCGTTGTCATAGCACGCTATGTTTGTTTAGGTAGCAAGTTCACAAAATACTTTTGGATACTGCGCCTCACCCGCCTTTGCAATTTGGTGCTCAAAGCCCACAAGGTCATAGAAAAGGTGTGGTTGTCAAATGTTTGTGTGTGTGTGTGTGTGTGCGCGAGCATCCGTGCGTGCTTGTTTCTTTGCGTGTTTGTTTGTTTGTTTGTTTGTTTGTTTGTTTGTTTGTTTGTTTGTGTGTTTGTTTTGTTGTGCTTTGTTTGTTTGTTTGTTTGTGTGTTTGTTTTGTTTTGCTTTGTTTGTTTTGATTGTTTGCTCGTTTGTTTGCCTGCCTGGCTGCCTGCCTGCCTGCCTGCCTGCCTGCCTGCCTGCTTGCTTGCTTGCTTGCTTGCTTGCTTGCTGGTGTGTTGGTGTCATGCTTCCTACGCTCTTTTCTTGCCACGGTTTCCGTGCCCTTCCAATCGTGCAGACGCAGCCGCAGGCAAAGAAACCCTTGAAGCCCGGCGAAGATGCGCCTGTGGAGGCACATTCTGCAACACAGGCCAGTGGGGCACAGAAGCCTTGACAGTTGCAAGGGCACTTGGAGCCCAATTTGGCCGTCTTAGCTCGACACTTTCTCAGTTGTTCAAAGCAAATCGACCGTTTGACCTTTCAGTTTCCCTATTTTGGTCCATATTTAGTCACAACCCCAAAAGAATAACCTTTTAGTTCCAGGTCCTTTGGGCAACTGATCTGTACATTCGCGACTTGAAGGGAATAGCATGTCATATTGCACGCTTGACGAGCAAGTTCCTGTTTCACACCTGCAGCAATCAGGGCCTCATGTAACTCGGATTTACACAAGTTGATAAGACTCCAAACATGAAGCAGGTGCCGCTTGACATTGCGGCTTGGTCTCAAGGTTTGTCATGTGGGAAGACCATGCGCGCACCACATTATCCATCAACGATCATGTCAGGCACATGAATCATTAGTTGGTCCCAGTTTGTTCGTTCAGAGCTGTCCAGAACTCATCATGTCGTGCCTACAAACATGGACGGACACCTTTTTGTTGGTTTTGCTCTGGGGTTCCCGCGATGCCCTCAGTCGCCACTTAGGGACTTGTTGGAACTCCAGGCTTGGGGCTGTCAAGAATAGGGTAACTCCAAAATGGGTTGCCTTGAGAAGTGAAACAGTTCGTGGACATTTTAACCTGCGGTCCATATCCTCGTGGTTTCATTTTGACCCATATATTATATAGCACGCTCTGCGTGCAAAAGCCGAGCTGCGTGGCTTTTCGGCCATCGAGGCGAGCGCCAAGAAGGCAACGAAGCTTGTGCCCAAGAAGAAGGCGGCCCCGAGGTGGGATGGGAATGGGTTTTCGTCCGGGATGACTCGGGGTTTGTCCAACCACTTTTGTGATACTGCTGGGAATCTCCCCCTTCAAAAAGGGGGGGGGGATATTTTTGGGAATCTCCCCCTTTTGGGGGTTAGTCTTTGGGAAGCCCTTTCTGTTGTATCACAGAAGTGGTCTTTTCCCACAGCCCCGGTTCAAAACCGCCGGGCTGAGTGTCGGACGGGTGTAGCTTATAGTTTATCGGACGTGCGCAGGACGGATCCGTCAGCGGAATCCCATGGATCTCTTGGTCGGCATCTCAGCTCTTGGCAATGCGGGGTGCGAATATGGATGGGCACGGATCATCTTCAGCCACATGCCAAAGAGGAGGTCTCCCGCATGAATACCTGCTATTACCTTCAAGCGGGAGTGAAGCGGCGTGTCCAAGTACACAAGTACAGGGCAACAAAATGCGTCAGTTGAGGAGTTTCGTACCAACTGGAGGTCAGGCTGCTGCGAGCGAGATCGGCAGGCCTTAGTTTGCCTCAGGTGTGCGTGTACGACTCTGCTTGCCAGGCCGCTGATGGACCGCCCCTGACAGGCGGCAAGTTGGGTTCCACTGCGAACCCCAATCGCAGTTGCGATGAATCTCTCAACTTGGCTAAGCCAAACCAATACCTAGTACGCTGTTAACGCACGTTGCTTAGGCCAAGGCTCGCAGCTTCCACATTCAGGGCACGCGTTGACGCGCGTGGACGGAATCCTGGTCAAGCCTTGAGTGTGAAAGCTGTGAGCTTTTAAGTGCAGACGTCCGCCCAAGCGGGGTTTGTACTCACCCACTCCACAGCTTCCGGTTTGCAGCTGTTTTTCCGGCTTGCGGATGTTTTCGGAGTTGTTTGGGCCCCTCAGATCCGAGATAAAAAGGCTTGTATGCTCTTGCCCGCGCTGCCTGCTCACGCATCCATGAATCGATTCCCGGTGATTCTGCTCGCAAGGTGCTGATTCTACTTGGCCCGTTCCTGGACTGCAACAATTCGAAGGCAAGGCCCTGCCCACTGCAGGTTTGCCACCACCCGCCCGGATGGCCAGGTACAGGCTGGTGAGACCCACCTCCCGGGCAGCGAGGACGGGCCGTGCGTAGCCAGATCTGATAAGTTCCTTGAGAGTTCGGCACATCTGTCATGGACTTGGTTTTTGATACTAGGAATACAACCCTTGGTTCCAGATAAGCGCCGCTCCTTCAGGTTGACATCATGAGTCACTAGCTACTCGCTTTTCTTGCAGACCAAGATTGGGAGATGGTGATGTACAGGCTTAATATCGCATGGGGAAGCAATGCCCTTTGCGCCAGCTGCTTATGAGTGTCCTGATGCTTGCCAGCAAGAATGAGAGCAAACCTGGAGATCACATTCGCTTATGCCCCAACACACGGCAAATTTCAGACTTCAGGATGTCTTGCGGCCTTTGGTGCAGGTCAATGAGTAGGCTGACTAAATGGCAGACGGTCGCATTTCCATCTCATGGACCAATGGCTTTCACGATTCAGCCACCTGGAAGTTCGAGCGAGGATCCATGCAGCTTCGAGGAGGCGACCCGGTGGTGAGAGAACTTGGTGCGGAGCAGGACTCAAGTGGCCATGGGGAAGCCACATCGTCCGAGTGAACATCCCAGGGCCCACTCAAATAGGTTCTAAAATGGGTGGTGAATTCACCTACCAAAATGGGATCCCAGTGGTTTTGACCCACAACCAAGTAAAAGGCGCCCGGAATTGTCACAGGTTTGATGGGGCTTTCAAGTCTTTGGGTGAGCCTTGCAGATCCGTTGGCTGACGCGGGCTATGGCAGAGAAGAGTAGCTGTTTGCTGTCATCGCATCTTGCCCAAGGGGGGACAATGTCTAGAGTCTAGTCATGAACTTCTCGCACACGCGAGTAATCCCCTGTGGCTATGTAGGCAAGGCAGTCCAAGCATGCCTCACTTCGAGAGGGACTGCTGGAACATGTTGACATCACTGGATACCACACTATGAAACCCTGTCCAACATACTTCATTATGCCGTCTTTCTGTCATTGAATGCCATTGACCTGAAATCTTGACGCATGATTCCTCACGTGAATCATGCATATGACGTATGCGTGTTGTGCCGTTTGAATGTGACAAGCGCATGTGTGGATCCATGTTGGAAGCTTGCACCAATGCGTGTTGCACACATTGCCATCAGGAAGCATAGCAATCTTCAGCTTGATCAATACACTTACATTCCTTGCAGATGTTGCCAGGCTCTCGCTATCAACCTACAAGGCACCAGCTCTTTGTTTTGAGACAAATCAGCCCCTCAACCTAAGGTGTCTCCCTGCGGCAGAAGCAAGATAAGACGCGCGCGACAGTCATGAGGCACCTTCAAACCTACGTGTATGTGTATACAGAAACTAAGTCAAACTACATTACATTATATATTACACATGTATGTTATGCGCATGTACGCATACGTGGATCATTTACGTGCATTCATAGCAGTGCTCAACGCTAGCTAATCCGGAGTCCCTGCAAAGGTCCGGGCAAAAAACATGTTGCCACACGTGCCACACGGAGTTCCCAAGGTAGGAACCCCCGCATTGGTTGGACTTGTGTTCTCCCCAGGCCATGGTCATGTTTGAGAGCAGTGCACAAGATCCCCATTGGCCATTTACGTGCAGGGGATTCGACTTCCTGGTAAGCCCCGGGCTACTCCCCGTGCGGGTACACCACTCGAAGTACTTCCAGTTGCTTAAACGTGTCTTTCTTCTTTTCTATTTTAAATAAACAATAATTTTATTTTGCTCTGTTGGTTTTAAAAAGAGTCTATCACATGTTTATTTCGATGTTTTCCCGGGGGCGAAAGCGCAAATGGAAGAGTCTAGGTCTACGCCCAGACCTTGCTGCCGATCCTGGAGAAGCGCTTGGCACCGCTGCGGCGGGGAAATGATCCCACAGAGGCTTGGCATGGTTGGGAAAACTGGCAGTCGGCTGTGGCTCAAAAATTGGGCAACCCCAAAATGGCACCTTGGTAAATGGAGCCAAAGACTAAAACCTGCACCCTGGCTCGTAAATTTGGAGCCACACCCAGTCGGCAGGCATTCGGCAGCAGAGCAGCCTGACCATGGTTGGCTTGGCTTGCGCATGGGCTTGGGCTTTTAGCGGTTGGTGTTTTGTGATTTGGTTGGTCCTTGATGTTGGTGAATGGCTTGGTTGGTTGGTCTCCCAAGCAGCATTGAGTCTTTGAGATTTGTGTCACGCTCAGAATATGGGAAGGCATGATAGAATTGGAGCCTATTCCACAAGTTGAGATCAGCTCAGATCCGGTCTTGATGAATTTAGAGGCACGCGATACCCGCGCCTGGTGCCAGGTTCTGATTGTGCCCTCTTTGGATGAGGCCGCTGCAAGTATCATGCAGTCACAAACCGTAGCGGACTCACTTGGAAGCGGGGCTCACCCACGAAGGTTGTTTACCGGGGGATCTATTCCTGGTTCTTCGCCCACGAAGGTTCTCTACTTCCAGCTGCATCCAGCTAGATGAACGAAGCAATTGAGATCAGATCCACACGTGAGCCAACGGGTAGATGAAGGTTAGCAAGGATATCCGCCTTCTTAATTCTTGAAGCAGGGTTCTGGGTGGACCATTTGAATACCGTTCGGTTTTGTTGTTGACTCTATGAGCTTTTTCTTTGGACCTTTTGGTTGCTAACACACCACAACCCTAACCCCAACCGTTGATTGATCTTGCTGACTTCTCTGAGCTTCAGCAAGCCGACGCGGAAAAACAAAAATAACCGCGAGGTGCTGTGCTTCCATCCCTTGCCCCAGCCGCCCATGGACGCGGTGCGCGAAGCTTAGGACCTGGCGCGGCACGGAAAAGACGGCTTCTATGTGGTTAAGTTGTTTTTGTTTTTGTTAAATAAACAAATAGAATAATAATAAGAATAATAATAATAAGAATAATAATGATAATGATAATAATAATCATTATTATTTTCCCCTGTTGGTTTAAAGGGAATCTATCACCACTGGACATATGTGTTTAAAAACTTCTTTCCAGGGGGCAAAAACGCAAATGGAGGACGGGGAGCGGTGGCTTCTGGGGCCAAAGAATGGGCCGGAAATGCTTCAATTGCTTCCGCCCCAATCATAACTTCGGCCGCTCCCTATGGAAAAAATGTTGGCTCGGTAGCGAACGATATTGTTGAATAGGGGATTAGGGGTGAGATGGGCTCCCTCAGAAGCAATTATACTCATCGGCCTAAATGTGGAACGTTGTAAATAAGTTGTAGTACAAACTCTGAAAGGGAAAGACTCTTGTTTTTGCTTGGTTTCGGTCAGCGCAGATTAGTGCAGGGAAAGAAAGACAGACAGCCAGCGAAGTGTGTGTGTGTGTGGCGAGAAATCCGCAAGTTTCGTATTGGTTTAGAATTGGCTTATTCTAGACGTAGTATTGGTGGGAGAAAGATTAAGCACTAAATCCGGATGCGCTTGAAGTGCAGCAAGCGCTTCAAGTACTACAGTAGCCGTGAACATTTTCTAGGCCACCAGAGTGGTTCGTCACCACAACTGATATTGGCCGCAGCGCCCAGTGGAAACCACTGAAGCAACATCACCTTACCTGTTGTGTTTCTTTGAGTGGTGCTTTGGTGATAAACCCCAATGGAGATGGTTTCTCTTGCCCGACCAGACATACACAGGTTCAACCCACAAGATCAAGCCACCAATCCAACCGATGGTGCTCCAGCGAAAGACAATGGTTGTTGGGTGGTTTCCAGGCCGTAAAAGAACAACTCTTTTTTTCCCCTTGCTGAGTGGTTTTGCAGGCGATAAAAGATTGACTCCGATGTTTTTTGTTTAGGAAGACCAACTGCTCTCAGCTGCAGGCTGGGACCTTGGCTGGAGACCGACATGTTAGAGCTGCAGCGCATGGGGGCGCCCCCGATTCCACCGACAGGAGGCTGCTTCTTGGTATTTGTGGCTTGATGAAGGGGCGACACTTGAAATGAACTCCTGACTCTTCCTGGGGCTTAGCTGTTGCTTGGAGAGTATGTCCGAGTGTGCTTCATGTTGTTTCTTGATTTGTGTGCTGAGTTGGGTGAAACAAGCGAGCCCAACAGCATCACCAGTACTGCTTGCCGCATGACACCGGCAAATCGCCAAGAGTCAGAGCGCGGGCGGTTGCAAGCAGCTTGAAACTACAACCTGAGGTCTATCAAGCATGAAATAACCCGTGTACATTCCAAGTTTGCAAACAACGTTGTATCGTGAGATCAAGAGGTTTTCAGTTTTTCTCGCGGTTGCTCAATCACCTGAGTGCTGTTGGGACGGGAGTCGTTGAGTCGAAAGCCGGAGCTCCAGGTACGATTTCTTCCCAATCCTGCACACCTGGAAATCAACGGGGTCAAGGCTGACTGCTGCAGGGTCGACTTTGGCACAGCCAAGGTGAATGGGTTTCCAAGGGAATCCAGATTTGCCTGTCATGACCTGTCAATTGGTGAAAGGTGACCCTGTTGTCGATGCTCGATGCAACATAAGCATATGCGACATGATTTCAAGCACCCCACTCTGAAGTATTCTCCTA